CAACTATAACTCACACAAGAGGGAGATTTTTCGAGAGAAAGATTCTGGAGGAGATCACTGATTAGTCTTTGAATGGCACTTCGCTTTATATGGTTGAAACCAGTTTATGCTGAGCTGGATTCAAAATAAAGTAGAGAAACTTTCAGGTATAAAACTCATCAACTACCTAAAGTTTTCTCAAAGAAATAAGAGCCATAAATCACAAGCAAGAATCTGAAAAAGAGGAAAAATAAAGAATGCAAGAAAAAAACACACAAACATCATAGGAAAATATTAATCGAAGAGAACTGAGAAGAATAATGTCTGCAGAAGGGAAGAAAGGAAAACATACAGCAGCAAGACAAATTTCATGAGGATTTGAAGTAGAATTTTGCAGATCGTCCCAACATGCAGACTCAAAGGTCATTGAAGCATCAAATGTCGTTTTTCTTCTCTTTACGTTTGTCATATAGTATACCAATCCGAGATCTTAGGATATGGACTTTCATAACCAGGAAGAATTATATACTAAACAAGGTAACTCCTACTCTATGTCAGCTATGTGGAAGTAGCAGAGAGCTCTGTTTAGACAAGACCAAGTTCCTCAATTTGAAAAAGATAAATTTTTCTTCATTTTCACAGCAGGGAGATGAACTCTATTCTTTATTCCCCTTTCTTACTTTGAAAGTAGAACAATTGCCACGACACAAATACTTCAAAATGGCTGAAATATATATATGTCCATAATCCATCCCTAAAAGTTGCCTCATTTATCTCTTTTCTTTAGCTCTTCCTTCTCTATATCTTGGGAGAACGTGTGGTCATGGATGGTGAAACCAATACCGGACTACACCCCATGTTACTGTTGACATTTCATATTCTGGGAATTTGGAAGAATGGGTCGAAAAGAGTTTTTGGTTCAATACCCTATATGGGGCTTGAGGGGTTTTGTAGGGTTTAAGGGTTGGGTTAAAAAAAGGGTCTTTTGGGTTTCTGAAGATCGTTTTAAGGATTGATTTCTTCTTATTATTGAGGTCATTTCAATGAACAAACAAAGATCATTCAAGAATCAATTCACTTACCAGAAAAATAAAAGCTTTAACACCCTTACCTTACCTTTGCTCAAGCAAAACGAAGCTGCTGTTCATTTCCTTTCTTGAGATAAAATTGGGGCTTTTGAGTAAGGAAGATGAGGAAGAAGAAGAGTTCCGAACCAAAATATGGACTCATGGGCTCGGCTGGGTTCACGTTAGACATAGCTATTTTAGGGTGTTTTTGCCCAAATTTTAGGGTGTGGGTCTTTAATACCCTTTATTTTTATTTTTTTTGAACATTGGTAAAGTTGTATTCTTCATCATTAAGGACATACTGGCCACCTTCAAAAATGTACAGTCCTAACCAAAATTACAAGCTCCCTATTAATTCTATAATTTGATCTACATCTTTTATACAGAGCTGTTTACACCCAAAAAAGTAGAGATACTAGACAATTCCATTTTACTTTGTGAATGGAATTAGATCTATCTTCAAAACATCTCCCATTTCTTTCCTTCCACACTGACCACCATATGCATGATGGTATTAGCTTCCACCACTTCTTTTGAGTCTACCCCCCCTTCTGATCCAACATTTAAAAAGATCAGAGGTGAGGTGTGTTCTGGCATAGTCCAGCTACAGCATGTGATGTTGAGGAACATCTCCTAGATCTGTGTAGTGAATTTGCAATGTAAAAATAGGTGTTTGTTTGTTTCCCCAGTCAAATTGCATAGGAAACACCTAGGGACTAGTTGATTTCCTTTCTTCTGCAGCACTTCTTGAGTTAAGTAGGCTCTTTTGATGACTAACCAAGTGAAGCATTTCACTTTGGTGGGGATTAGTCCTCTCCAAATACTCTTCCAGTGATGATGGTAGCCTCTAACCCCAACTTGTATGCTGTGAATTTGCCATCCTTGTTGTGCTTCCAAATAACTCTATCTGGTGCATTTGTTACTAGATTGGTTCCCCCCAATTTTCCCAGGAAAAAAGCCACTCTATCTACTTCCCAATCATTCAATAGCTTTCTGAAAGATAGGTCCCAGCCTTGAGTTGTCCAGCATTCACATACTCTGGCTTCAGGATTGTTGCAGATCTGGGAATGACTCACTTAGAGGAATTTGATCAATCCATCCATCTCTTCAAAACTTGATCTTGTTGCCATTTCCAACTTTGAGAAACACATTTTCTTCCATAGAGTTCCATAAAGCTCCGATTGTCCTCCATACTCCCCATCCATAGGGTTCTGACACTATCTCTGTACACCATGGGTTCAATTCCCCATACTTTGCCACTATCACCTCCTTCCATAGGGTTCCTTCCTCACTAGTATATCTCCACAACCACTTCATCAAAAGGCTCCTGTTTTGGATTCTCAAATTTCTAATACCCAGTCCCCCTCTTTCTTTGCTTAGCATCACAGTGTTCCATTTCACTAAATAGTAACCCTTGCCTTCCCCCTCTTTGCCTTTTTTCCAGAGGAAGTTTCTTCTCAGTCTGTCCAATTTAATACCCTTTATAAAAATCTATATTTGATACCTCGTTATGGCCATCATTTCTATTTATCTTTTTTTGCATTTTTTTAATCCATAATATTGTACTATTTCTGGCCAACAATAGTTGTTCACTATTGACTTGGCACAACTTTAAGAAAGAATAAATAATAGGGGTAATATTACTATATTATCCTCTGACTTTATTAAATTTAATGCTTTGAACTACTGCAATGAATAAACATTGTATAAATAGTGTATATGGATGTATATACCTCTCTAATACATAATTATACATCATATATATACACAATTATACAACATTGATACATTACATGTACATATGACCATTTTATTGAGAAAAAAAAATGTTACATATACAGTTTGGTAACAAGCCCTATTTAATATAGTGTATTACATATAAAACAATAACAAGCCCTATTTAATATTAGGGAAAGCATGATCAACGTTTTCTCAGTTTCAGTATGCCTTCTTCAATGTTAATAGTTTTTCCAATGATCTAGTAAAGCAACCAAGCATGAGGAGACCTTACAAAATGAAAATAAAGCTAAGCATAAGGAAGATTTGCAACTTAAAGTCCAGCTACTCATAAATCAAAGAATCATATACTAAACCAACATTTATTTTCTAAATGCAAAAGTCAAATGTATATCAGTAATGACCTGTATATTGAGGAGGACAAGAGAAAAGATTCAAAATTGTAACCATGAGATACTGGTCATACCTTGTCAATCTCACTGAGTCCCAAACATCCATGCTGCCTTTCATCAAGTCTCAGTTAAAGATATATTTTACCCTGCTTAACATCAATTCAGAAAATGTGTGCTCCCACAGTGGACACTGGACATATCGAACGACAGTTGAGGGAGAAAAGAATAAGTTGCTACACCGCAAAAAAAGAGCCTCCTTAATGACATGGACAAAAAAATTGGATGTATGCAAAGGGTAGTACCGAAAAGTAAAGAACCAACAAGAAGATATGCAAAAAGGCCACCCAATCTTCTATACAACAAGGAACTACATGGGTGCACCAAAAGCAGATCAGGGATAGAGAATACTACTCAACTGAGTAAACTCATCTCTACCCCTTCAAAAATCTCCTATTTCTTCCTCTCCAAACAACTCACATTAACGTGAATGAAGCAACATTCCATACCCTGCGTTTTCTCCTCCTTTTTGGCATCTTCCAGTTGAACATCAAATCCCGCCCATAACATGGCATCCTCCAAAGCTTAAAGAAGACACTTCTTCCTACAAAGTTTAAAGTTCCTTAACGTAGAACATCCACCCCTCCCCCCACAGTTACACTGTCCAGACAGAAACGTAAGAAACCATAACTGCAGAAGGACCATTTGATCCATGTCTTCTCTGACTGAATAAAACATTATATACTAGAGAAAGATAAGAGATAAGATGGTTTCAGTTATCTGCAAGATCAATTCTTTCACTAAGTTCTTATAATTTGCATCAAAATGGAATCAAGGAGATGATGTATTATGTTAAAACATCTGAACACTTAACTCCAAGAAAAGAAGAAAACACAGCATGAATCGAATTGCATACAATTTCACTAGTAAAGTCTAAAAAGACTGAGCATTTTAAGATACTACAAAACTTCCCAACCTTGTAGAAGCTTTCTATCCTTATTCAGGAATACAGGGCCTACAAAGTCAATAACAAAAGAACAACTAAACAGTGCTTCATCCTTTCAATTCACATTCCTAAACAAAAGTAAACTAAAGGACGAACGAGCTGCAAATTAGGACTGTAGAAATAGCTTATCATCAGAGGGTGAGAGCTATCAGGATGAGTTCACATTGATGTATCATAGGCTTCTCACATCAGCTTCATAAATCTTAACAGAAGGGTTCACAGGGATCTAATCCCCACCCATCCCAAACCATGATGATTGTTAATTGTCAATGTACAATTTTTTTAATCTGAGATTGGTTAAATGACTAATTTTAAGAAGGTAAATCAATTGTATAGATGAACTAGCACCAAGGATGTGCTTTAAGCCTATAACACCTGTACAATATTTTCATGAGCAAGAAGTGGTAACTGATTCCTTTCTTTAAATAATTAGCTGGTTAAATTATTTACATGAGAATGTATCTTGATAAGCGAAAGAATATATCATATTAATCATTAAACATGAGATATTTGATTTTCCTTCGACTTAGATATTGCTTCTGAAGCTATATGATTCTGCAATATCAGGAATGATCATAGCGGGAGGATAAGCAAATACCAAAGAAACTGTTGTTTTGCATTGATTATAAATCTGAAACAAATCCCATGGAAATAAATAATTTTGTGTTTAATGACATATGGAAAGGTCAGGATTACGCAAATGACAACTGAGAGAATTCCTTCGATAGAGGCAACTTCAGTAGGAGTAAAGCCTGGATATTAAGGTACACCAATACAAAAGGTAGAAGTTAAGACAAGGAAGATCTTCATTTTGATACATTGGACTGTTATAAATGTTGTCAAACTACAAAAAAACACGTTGATCGTAATGGAAGAAAAAGGCAGAAAGCAGCAAAAGAATTCAACTAATATTGAAAGATATTACCATTTATACCCAATTCACGAATGTTACAAAGTACACTACAAAGAGACAGTGCGTCTATATAGTGTTTCATCTTCACTGTCATCTTCCTCTTCTGATACAATCTCATTGCCTGGTAGCTCTAACTTCCCACCCAAACAAAATGACGGACCAGAACTTTCAGGCTCTATATAATCACCATACAATCTCTCTTCAAATCTTTGGTCACTACAATTGAGAAACCAACCCAAAGAACATCTGATTTCCTTGTTCTGCAACCTCTGGTACCTGGGTTTGATTCTTGATTCCAAGCTATACGTGAAGTAGTCTGGAAAGTCCAAAAGCTCTTCCATTGGTCGACCCATATCGCTCTTGAAAAAGTAATAACTATTTTTCATGATGCCAACTTGCAAAGCAACTAACTGAGGACATTTTACAATCATCTTTGCCACATCAGCTGTTGAAAATCCCCGTCCAACAAGGAACTCGACTGGTTTCATTATCACATGTTGATGTAGACTGACAATTTGTGGCATCTTCTCAATGACTCGAGCAAAACCATCAGGATCAATCTTAAGCTTTAAGTTAAAGAAATATTGTTGCGACGACAGCTTAGCTTTCAAAGGTAAACCTAGAATTTGTGGAAATTGTGCAATAACAGAAGGCAAAGTGTCCTTCCTAAGTCCAAAACTCAGTAAGCAATTTACATTTGGTTTCACCGTCTCTTCAAGATCATAACCAAGTAAATATGCTCGCTTCTCCAACATTCTCGCCAATATTTTCTTCGGCAAACCCAATGAAACCAAATAATCCACAAGTGGTTTAATCGTCGTCCCAACTCTCATCCCAAGAAAATATGGATATTGTGTTACCATCGGCCCTACATCCCTCGGATTAACCCCTATACTAACCAAGTAAGCAACTGAAGTACTCATTGTTCCCTCAAGTTTAAACCCTAACAACTCAGGATATTTCATCAAAACATACCCAATATCTTGTTTCTCAACATCAAGACCTCGTAAAAATTTAATAACCGGAACAAGCTCCACAACGACACTAGTATGTAAACATTGAGGATAAATCTTAATAAACTCACCAAGCTTAGACCTTTGAAGCCCAATTTTCTCCAAGTATGTTAAAACAGGAATTATGTTTTTCCTCACACTACAACCAAGCATTAAAGGATATTCATTCATATCATCAACTGTGAGACCAATTTTCTGCAAAAACTCAACACGTTCCCGCATAACTTCAACAGTGGAAGGTAATTCCAACTCCTCTAATTCATGAGGGATTATTCCTATAGTTTTCAAATAATCAGAGATTATTACACGTGACACCAACTTCTCCTTACGCCCTTGGACTACACCCCATGTTACTGTTGGCATTTCATATTCTGGGAATTTAGAAGAATGGGTCGAAAAGGGTTTTTGGTTCAATACCCTGTATGGGGTTTTGTAAATTGGGGTAAAAAATGGATCTTTTGGGTTTCTGAAGATTGTTTTTAAGGATTGATTTCTTCTTATTATTGATGTCATTTCAGTGAACAAACAAAGATCATTCAAGAATAATAAGAAAATATAAGCTTTTAACGCCTTACCTGCAGAACGAATCTACTGTCCATTGAAAAAAATTGCGGCCTTTGTGTAGGGAAGATTGAGCAAGAAGAAGGGTTCATGGGCTGGGCTGGATGAGAAAAAAATTGGGGCTTTTGTTTTATTTTCTTATATTATATTATATATTATATATATGTTGAAACTTGATAAAATTATCTTTATTTATTATTAAGAAGAAGTTAAAAATATATATATTTGAGAAAGGTATGGGTAGGAGAAAAAAGGTGAGGAAAATGTAATTTAGATTGATTTATAATAAATATACAAAGAAAATCATGTTTGTTAGAAATATATATAAAAAGTATACATTTTTTCTCAAATTGTTATTTTTTGTTTACTGTCTTTAAAAGTATACAAAACTCTTAAGTGATGAAAATTTATATACGAACCTAAATTAAAGGTGAATAATTAAACTTGAAATATTTGAATTTGAAAATTAAATGTATTCTCTCCCTAAGTTATTTAGATTGAGAATTTTATTTTTTGATGACAATTATAACCATTTGAAATTACTAAAATCATTAATGTTTTATGGAAATATAGGACCTTCTTCTCATGAATTTTAATTACTCATTCCGTCTACTTTTAATTGTCATGTTCCGCTTTTCAAAAATTAATTTGACTAATTTTCAAAGTTAAATTAGATTACATTAATTCGATAGTTTAAATAAAAAATTCAGATATTCAAAAATGATACGAAAAGTACTATAAATTGCAATATTTTTCATATCAATATGATAAAAAAATACATCGTAAAATGTTTGTCAAAGTTCTTATAGTTTGACTCTAAAAAAGGAAACCAATGACAATTAAAAGTGGGCGGAGAGAATAATCGTCAATTATAAGCTTTTGTATATGATTATTATGGGTTATCAAAATAAGGTTATTTACTATTTCTTTATGTGTATGGATTTTGATTAAAAAATCATGAATACTTTATATATTTCATTTAGTTTTTTGATTTATTTTAAATAATAATAATGAATTTCTTTCATAACTGACATTATGTTTGAATTGATGTTAAATAGGAGCGAGCATAATACTTTATTAAAAACCTTGGTTTGATAATTTAAATTTGTAACTTTTTTAAATACTATGCCATTATTATATCCTAAGGATTTAAAAATTGATTGATTTCTTTGGTGTTAACTTAGTGTTAAGATTTTTTTTCTATAATTATTTTGTTTAGCAGGAAAAACAAGTCTCGACTCTAAGTAAAATAATATTCGCGCAGATAAATTCATTAGTAATACCTTAAACTAAAAAATAAGTATTGTATGTGTTTTGGTTCTATTTTTATATTTATTTTTTCGATTTCCAATAAACAAAAAAATATTACGTGTCTTCTAAAAGGTTTTATTACCGCTAAAAAATAGTTATATCCTATCCATTTTTATCACTATCTCTCTCACACACACCCATAAAATTCACATGGTTCCTCTCTTTCTCACTTATCCTCTATACGGTATACCTATACATTGTGGTATTATATGCGTGTACTTTATCAATAAAAACATGATACATTTTTTATATTGTCTCAATTGTTGAGACTTTACAACTTACCTTCATATGGTACAAAACTTATAAAATTAAATTATTTACAAGTAATAAATAGCCTATCGATCTTTATCACGTGTTAAAAATGTCTTCAAGACTTATTTATTCACTTATTTACTTGAAAGGAAACAAGACACAATAATCCTAGTATATAATTTGTCACTCACCCACTTGCAAACGAATAATCTTAAGACACTTGAATGACAATCTATTTTGTCTACTTTGCTTAAAGATTTTCACAAATCATTTCTCATATTTAATATTACAAGTTACATAAACCATAATGATCAATACCTTTTCTCTCCCATTTCTACACTATACCCTGACTGTTATATATTGAGTGATATCTGTTATAATGTTAATCTATAACTCATGTCTAGCAAATAGTTAATTTTTTCATAAATAATTCGTCAAGGCAATGTGATGACCAATAATCCTCTTATAAGTTTTTATGTTTGATGAGTCTGGAAAAGGTTTTATCAAACCAATCAACCAATATTGATTTCTTCTATTAAGATTAGTTTATCTAAAACTCTTGTTGAGTATTATCTGATATTTTGTTCTAAAGAAGAATATTATTCATCATTAGTGATTAGCCGTTATGACTACAAGTCTCTATGTCGGATAAAATTTAAGTGTGCACTTTAGAGATCTCATCTGATAATTTTCTATCACGATCCAAACTATCTCCTAGACGTAACATGGTGAATAGGATCTTGAGAGACTCTAAACAAACCAGTTGATATAAGTATGAGACTATGATGAACAACAAAACAATATGAAATTAATCATAAAGCTAAAAGTTTATAGTTAAACCTTTTTTTTTTTCAACTCCAAGCGTAGCAAAATAGAGAAAGGGGCATCAGATGTCTCATTGTGACCTGAAATTTGTTACTCATTCCAGGGTTGGTTAATTTTCCATAAGTAATTTTTCTAGGTGTTGCATCAAAAATGTGATCAAACAGTACAATTTTTCGACGAAGGAGGTTCACTACAGGTCTCCCCCTCTAGTGATCTTCTCCGATTAGAAGGAAAAAACTGATCCTGTTCCAACAACCTTGTGAAATCTTAGGGATCATTTGTCACAAACTCAGCCTACCATAGAGCCCTTGCAAATAAAGCAGTCTAAAATGGACATCTCTACATAAACAACTGATTATACGTTAGGCACCACAGAGATGAGAAACTAAAACAAGACCTCAATCATGATTAGTCCAAAGAATCCCTAAATGGATGCACCTAAAACCCCGATTAAGAGCATTTACAAAAATTAAGATGTCGGGTGTACAGACAACCCACTGAAAATCTATTCACAGGATGGGGTATGCAGCTAACAAATGATACTCTTGTATTCCTAGTACCATGAGAGCAAAGAATGCTTGATAAGACTCCCATAGGTCGTCAAATCTACAAATGCAGATCATGCGTCACACTACTTCTAAATGCTACATCCTCATCATCCAAGGGTGTAAGCCGCCTCCTTTTCACGTTGTGTTCAGGATCTGCTTCTGAGCCAGAACCATTACCAATGAGCAACAAGCTTTTACATGCAAGGTTGACATTTCCATGGATATCATATGGGTTCTCCTGACCGGAGATGACAGGACCAGTACCACTGTTATCACGAGTCTCAATCGAGGATTGTGCCAAAGTGATGTCCAGCAACTCGCCACGAGTGGCATCTCCATCAACAAAACAGTCAATACTTGACTTTGGACGATCTATTTTCTCATCTGAACTCATATTTTGATCTACTTTGCACAGTTCTACAACCTCAACTTCTAATTGTTTCTCCGTGTCACGGACTGAAGTAGTTGGTGATGAGTCCAATTCCTCGTCCACATCTTGGACAACTGACACATCTGGGATCCAGGAAGTTCCTGCAGCAAGAGACCCAGGTGAAAATGAAAATGCACAGGGTTCAGATCCATTCCCACCCAGATGCAAAAGGTCTGTGTCAGTTGCTGTGTACGCAAGATGATCTCCAGCTTCCATCTCTTCCTGTTTAAGGTCATCAACAACTCAGTGACTTCTAGCAGAGTTTAAACACAAGAAAACCTATTCAATTTACGGCAAATAAATGCATATAAACAGAATCAAAACCCTTGGCAAAGTGAACTGGTACAACCAAAATCAGTTGATTCGAGATCCAACTAAGACAACTGGCTAATATCCATGCACGATTAAGAGATTAAAACAAGGAGGAGAGGTCAACAAGAAGCAACGTAGATTACACCCTCCAAAAGTGGAATTAGTTACAGCATCATAAATCTGATTCTCTCTGACTAATATCTTTGCAAAAATTCTACACACTTGCTTCAAATATAAATCTCACCCAGCACTTGTTCAAAACTATCACCCCTGCCTCTCTTACCCTATTATTTTTAATTAAAAATAAAATAAATAATTCCTAAACTACATTAATATTCTTCCTACTATGACACATAACATAAGAAAAGTAGCCAGGTTGGACTGTTTAAAAAATGATTTGTTGTTTCCTCCCTACTCCCTCCCCTCCCTGAGTACACAATACTCAATAAATGGATACAAGTGCCTCTAGAAAGCATTTTTACAAAACATTAGTACATAACAAGTGTCAAAACTTCCCAATTGGCCAAAAGGAAATTAAGTCTAAATGGAGTGTCCAGTAAACTTTATGTTATCACATTAATTTTCAATATACTGCTCCTAGAAAACAGCACCCTTTTCTCCTTTGGAACCAAAAGGAAAGGGAAAAGTAAATGGAAATAGGATGATAGTGATCTTCGTGATCTGAACTACAATATTACCATAAGTTCTTATCTTCATGTTTATGTGTACCAATTTGAGAACTATTGAACCTAGTTGCAGATACATACAGCATACCTGTATTTCTTGAGAATAAATAACAACGTACCTGTATTGGCGGTAATGAACTCCTGAATTCGTTAAAAGATGCTGTGTGACCAAAACCCATGTCAAGCAAGGTTCTTCATCAGATTCAGACTCAAAAGAATCATTTAAACCAAAGCCTGAATCATTAGCACAAACACCCCTGAGAGAGGAAGTAGGAAATGGGTTTATCTCAATAGCTTGAGAATGCGGTAAATTGTCTGAACTCTTTGATGAACCAAGTTGATCAGATACTAATTCTAAAGCATTTTCATCATCATTGCTTGTCTTGAGACCACCTTCAGGATAGCAACTATTACTCACACAAGAGGGAGATTTTTCGAGAGAAAGATTCTGGAGGAGGTTACTGATCAGTCTTTGAATTGCACTTCGCTTTACAGAAGGCTCATATGGTTGAAACCAGTTTATGCTGAGCTGGATTCAAAATAAAGTAGAGAAACTTTTAGGTATAAAACTCATCAACTACCTAAAGTTTTCTCAAAGAAATAAGAGCCATAA